GGGCTTCAGAGCCACCAGCTTCGAACCTCCAGGAACCCAGCCCGAGGTCAGCTTCCGGAGCCCTCTATCTTGTGGGGCGCAGGAAGGAAAGTATGCTTAAGAAATTGGCAAGTATGAAGAAAATTCAAAGGAACAGGTCGACAAGAATGAAATAAAGCCTCATTTATAAACAGGAATAATCAGTTTACCAAGCTGTAAGCTTAGAAAATCTAATCTTTTATACAATTTTTGAAGCCTGACCATTTTCTTCTCAAATTTTCCTATTTCATGAGCGCTATCATGAGCAAAATATGACACTCAAGTGCTTCCTTGCTACCAGCTCTGGCCAATGTGGTTGGCATTGCACATTCTTTGGATTCTACTAAAGTCAAAATGGGTGATATATTCTGAAGCTTCAGGATAATCATCTTTTAATTAGCTGTGATTAACAACAACAATTTGTTAAAAAGTAAAAGAACAGCAAAATTTCAGAAAACATCTAACGCAACGTGGGGCTTAAGAACTCTGAAAGCACACATCTAAATGCGTGGCTATAGCTGGAAATCTTTTTTACCTACGAAGGCTTTAAATGACCTCCCCAGATGCACTTACTTGGATGGCCTGCCTCTATGTCTACCATACACTGGGAAGAGCTGAGCAGAGGACATGTCAAACACAACACAATCCAAACATTGTATGACCGCCAGTGAATCTTTCAGTAAGATTTCATTGCTGTGTTGATTTAGTCTTTTCATTTAGTAGATGTCCCTTCAACTCCATCCTTTGTTAAAAGCCTTAGAGTATCAGCAACAGTGAGGGATTCCTAATCTGATGTCTCCCATTAATTAAATCAAAACAAAATCCCAGAAACCATTCCTTTTTACTAAAATTTGCTGCCCACCCCCCTCCAGTGTCTGCCCAGTCCCTGGGACATCCAGAAATTCCCTACTTAACCCCAATTAAACCCAGAGCCCTGGTGGTGCAGTGGTTCAGTTCTCAGGCGCTAACCAGAAGGTCAGTGGTTTGAACCCACCAGCCACTCAGCAAGAGAAAGATATGGCAGTCTGCTTCCACAGATGTCAGCCTTGGAAACCATTCCCCACAGGGCATTAAACAGATTAGAAGGCAGACTTTGTGAAGGAAATTTTTATTTACACTGTATCTCGAAGCAGATACATAAACTCTTATACAATTAATTTCCAAAAATGTGCAAGAAATTACTATAATTTGTTTACAAACCAAAACACATATTAAAATCAACGGCCTTTGGATCATTCACTCTGTGGTGTTGTCGGTACAGATGGTACACTCCTGATTCGAAACAGACAGAAAACGTGTAAACTACAGCAGGCTGGATTGCAAGGGTGACCTCATGGCAGTCCAAGGTGACTATAAAACCTCTGAACGCACCCTGTACACTGACCACAGAATTCTGTACGAATCCGCCACCATCGCTGGATGCAGAGTCTGGAACAAGCTTCAGAAACAGCAACTACCATGGTCTGGTGACTAATAAAAAAGGATGTTCATAAAAAATCTTCTTTACAGGATTAAAAAAGTATTAAAAGAAACCATATTTGTGATTACTAGAGTACCAATACTTTTAGAATTTTAAAGTTACTCCTGGAACTGGCGACTGTTCCTTATTACAACAAAATTCTCTATTGCTGGTAGTGTGACTTCATTTTCAAATTAAGAATTCACATTCAGTGAAAAGCAATTAAGATTCAAACGAAGAAATATTTTTTGAATCGTCTCTCTCATCATATAGTGTGAACTGTACTATAATTAGCACTGGCATTTCGGAAAGCATTGAGGAAAATATCTAGACTTGTAGCACTAGGAGAGATTGCATACAACCTCGTTGGGATCGCAGTAACTTCTCCGGTTTCATCAACACTGGCTCAGAAGTTCTAATATACACTTTACATTCACTACATGCCAATGATTTCGCCTTTGGCACATCATTTTCTTTAAGCACAAGATGGTCGTCCTGTGTAGGTGGTTTCCTGTAAAACTATGTTTAGTTCTGTGATCATTTCCTGGGATAAGTATGCGTGGCTTCTAAGATTTCAGATTACTGCACCAAATAGAAAAAGAATCATTTTCCTTAGAGATAGTAAGAGAGAGTTCTCAAGTACTTTCTACAGCACTCTTAATTATTTTTAAAAATGCGTAATAGTGTCCCAAGGAAGCCTGAAAATAGCTCCTGGCCTCTGTCATGTTTTATGATGAAACATTTGAAAAACATCAACTCCGATCCATTTATTATAGCAAATTGATACAGCTTTCTTGTTTTTCTTGCCTTGAGCTCAGAATTTTTGAAAGCAACTATTTAAAAAAATCATAGGTAGTGTTCACATGTCATCTAAGTCACCATTCAATAGAATTCAAAACTTTTTATTTTTTTTCCTCAAGTTTTATTGTGATTTGGGTGAAAGTTTAAGAAGTGAAGATTTTAATCAAACTGTTTCTAGACCAAACTGCGGGATGAAGACGGACTCTCTCTTGACCATATTCCATTTTAACCACACTGTCCCAGGAGCCTGGGCAGCCCGTCTGTCACACTGCGTGGTGTTTTCTATGTCCAACGGATCTCCCTCTACACCAAAGCAAAAAATGGCACAAGACCCCCTTCTTCCCATTTTCAAAGTTAATCAATGCCTTGGCATGGACAGACTATCAGAACCTAGCAATCCCAAACCGGACCATGATAGGGCGTGTTGGAGTATTTTCTATCACGGACATACAAAAGCACATAGAAACTGGCCTTCTGAGTAAGAACAGTATGAAGACATGCCCTCCAAGAAATGCACAATACACAATTTTAAAAACATTCAGATGAAAACCAGAATAATCTTGACACTCAATGGCTTAATGTTGGGCACGTGGCAGCAAGAGGGAACCGTAGGGAAACAAAGCTACCTCCACATGATAAAGTTGGGTTCAGGGCGGCCCGAAGACCTCTGTGCACCATGATTTCACAAAGTACATGGAGATGCTTCTAGGAACGTGGAGAAGCCATGTCAACACTTATTATTATTACACAGTGACTCTCTGACAACCCCTGCCATCTAATATAGATGCAAGGGGACTTTTAACCCACCCTAGATATATTTTAAGTTGTTTAAAAATAAATAGTTTTGAAAAAAAAAATAGCTTAAATGTCTTGCATTAATTTGACATTACAAGTTTACAACTCTGTAATAGTTCTTAATCCAAATAGCTTATCATGAACAATGAACAATGACTTATTACAGTATCCTCTGTATTCCATCTTCCTAGGTAAACACGTGGCAGAAAAGAAAGAGGCGTTTTGGCGACAAGGTACAATCAACAGTCCACCGAAGTGAAGTACCTTTTCCCCTTTAAGTGAAAATATCGCAACACCATGGTATTATGGCATTGCTCCTTTTCTTAATATCCCAGTTCTGACCCTAAAAACGAGGGGAAAAAAAAGTGGGGATACAGATATGTTTGAAAGACAAAGCCATGACGTTCGTCCTAAGACTCTTGTCCTTGTGTTTAAATGGGAGATAAGGAAACTGTAAAAGAGCAAGGTAGAAACATCTCGAAATTACATGTTTCATCTAAAATGGAAACATTTTCCCAGATTTAAAGCTCTGTTTCTGGAGACATCTTCTGTACAGGACAATTGCAAAAGGCTGTGCAAGGAATAAACACACTGCTTTGAAAAAAACTAAGAGGTATTGGGATCACCCCACCACCACCACGACTGATTCAGAGAGACAAATGACGACCTAACAATCCCAAATTTCTTGAGCGCTAAATTAAAACTCAACAAGCAAACAAAAAACCGAAATGGGAGCATATTATGTTAGGCAGTAAGAGTTCCAGATATCTGATGTGGTTTCTAACATTGTTCTTGTATCATATGCCACAATTTCCATAATCTTCCAACTAGAGTTGTTTGGTTTGGCTGGGGGGGATTAGGCAGGGTCAAATCTAGCACATTTTAAAGTGACTACATAAAAGAAAACATGAATTTTTATTCAAATCAATTCAAAACCTTATATAAGTGTTACAAGAGAATCTAGTTCATTCATGAAAAGAAACTGTGTAATCAAGTTCTACCCCCAGAAAATGGTGACTAAGGCTACGGAAATCACAGATAAAACATTTACCCAAGAAAAGTACAGATAAGACCAAGAAAACCACTATCACAGGAAACTGTGGTAACTCGGTATTTCTATGCCAATTTACCAGAGTTTAATGACAGAAAAGGCAACCGTTACTAAATTGGTAGTATATATTTCTTTAAGAAATTTTAATGTAAGGCCATTTTTTCTTTTTTTTTTAAAAAACAAAAAATTTGACAAACCACAAGATGAAAATGAAGGCAAAAAAAAAAAAAAAAGAAAAAAAAACCCTCAACTTTTTGCAACCAAAAAATTAGTCCAACTTTAGAAAAAATTTAGAAGTGAGTGTTGTTGTAAAGGACATGTTAACAATAGCTCTGCCTTCTGTGACCCAAGACGATGTGGCTTCCTAATTCCAAATCAATCTTTGTAAAGTATGACATTACAGAATCAGGTTCAGTGTACGTGTAAATTCTGTGTTAGCACATGGGTAATGCGTCTTCAAAACTACCTTTTGAAAACAGGCCGTTCAAAGAGACCACATTTCCATTCTCTAAGTTTGCATTCACCTTTACTTAGGGTTGACTACACATGAAATGTGCTTTCAATGCATAAAATCACAGTGGATAGCAGCAAAGGACGGGAGGGGGTGCAGGACCGTCTCGTCGTTCGTGGCGACCACTCTGCACGTCGAGAAAAGGTGGTTCACACTCCTCACACCTCCAGACTTCCCCCTGAAAGAACCAAAAGGAACCCGAGACATCTTGCCGACACCGCCCCGGCCCCGGACACATGGATGACTCTTGTACACAGAAAACCGAAATCAGAACGGCAGCACACGCATGTGATGGCAATGACGGTCTGTAAACGGTATCTGGGTGGTTGCCTTGCTCCCCAGCGCCGGACGCGGCCCTGCGCCCGTCAGTAGTGCTTCTCCTGCAGGTAGTCCTTCATCTTGTTGGGCAGGGGCAGCTTCTGGATCAGGTCTATGCGGGTGTACTGCCGGATGACGAAGCGGCACAGGTACTGCAGCGAGCGCACCTGCATGAACCGCGACACCGGGTGCGTGAGCCGCACCGGGTAGGTGGCCGAGCCGGGCAGGCGGGACCGCGAGTAGCAGAAGGCTCCGTTCTCGGAGTCCCTGATGGAGTGCTCGATGAGGTCCACTATGGACGTGTGGCCCTCCACGTCGGGCTGCTCGTAGAAGCTGAACCTGCCGTTGGAGTGCTCGATCCTGGTGTGCAGCGTCTTGCCGTGCGAGCGGAAGCTCAGGCTCAGCAGGTAGCGGTCGTCGGAGCTGTCCCGGACCAGGAACGAGCCGTCGGGCACGCTGGCCAGCTTGCCCTCGGCCTCCCAGCGCGTGATGGGGCCCCAGTACCAGCCCTGCCT